TGATTCAGCAGTTGTTTTGCCTTTTCTTCAACTTCATCTGCTTCTTCCATTTCGTAATCATATTCTTCATGTTCTGCTTCAGAGCCGCTGATTTCTTCCATTGACATCCATTCTTCTAGATTGGTAGGATCCATTTTGGCCAGACACTCAAAACGCTGAATCTTTTGCATAAGATTTTGCTTTGTCCCTAAAACAAATAAATCAACAAGCAGGGCCCGTTTAGTATCATGTTGAAAATTACTAATCTATGCTAGAAATTAACGAAAGAGAAGAGAAAATAAACATACTCTCCACGTTTGCAAGACTTTGACTGAAAGAGGATATTGATTCGTCATCTTCTTCATTTTGAAATCCAAGCACCGAAACAGGGCTCTGCTGTTCTTCATCCTCATAATCCAATTCCCCCTGTCCATGTTCATCATAAATTAGCATTATTTAAATAACGCAATCCAATAAATTCAATTTAGATAATTTAAATTTCTAAAAAGTTTTCATCTTTCTTCATTTTATTTCATTCAACTTTGAGTGCGATAATTTAAATAGGTATATTAAATAGGGAAGCGCTTCATAAACCACACTATAAAATAACTCTTAAAAAAGGAAAAAGTTAAAATAGAACAAAATGAACGGACACAAATAACATGTCTACATGATGTATCAAAAGAATGAAAAGAATTTGGTTACTATTAAATAAAATATTGAGTTTGAGTGTTTTGAATAAAAATGTAGACATTGAAAGAATTTCACCTTTAATAAGATATAATTCGATTTAATTTTAAATTAATTAAAATTTAATGTGATTATCGAATAATAAAAAGTTAATAAAAAACTAAAACATACTAAGAGAGTTGATGCAAATTGGTCCAAGTAGAAAAACAATTGTATGGCCCTTATTATTTCAATTAAACATATTAAATTAAGATTTATCCATACTTTGATTTTTCTTAGTAGCTTCTCTCTTGTCCTTATGTGCTTACCTGTGTTAGTTCTGTCCTAAGGGGGACAAAACAAGTGCAGTACAGTAAAGTCAATCAAATGTTCACTAGAAGACACTAGATCTGACGGTGATAGTGTATAAACTAAATCATCTAGTACCTCAACAGCAGACATATGAAAATATATTATTTAGATGCAGATGCACCAGATAATTGCTCACCTCAGGCCCCACTGTAGGCTCAGATACCGTCGCTGTTGTCGGCTCCATTAACAAATCCTTGCCGACACAGGGTAAGTACTTTTCACCGCATTCCTCCGGTGAATACTCCGACGTAAAATCACTCTCGCACCAGCTGGAGCCGCTACTACTGCACGGGGTGTTGGTGGAGCCGGTCGTAGTGGTGGTGACGGTGGCGGTGGTGCAGTGTTGGGGCGAAGAAGCAAAATCCACCGGCCGGTATTTTTCGTCCACCAAATCGTGGAACGACTTCCACCTCATGATGTCTTTGACTGTAAGAACATTGACTTTGACCTCGTTTTCTTTATTATCACCGTTCCGATCACCCGAGTTCCTCCTGGACAGCCTCCGCGATAGGCTTCTCGGCAAAATTGAAGGGGATTTAACCACAGCGAAATGGATGTTCTTGACGGCATTGATCACGGCCTGGAATGTCGAAATTGTTGTGGCGACAGCTTTCGATCGACTTCCCTGTAGTCTTGAGTTGCCTGAATTGAGATTTGGAATGATCTGGTCGTCCTCGTCAGGTGCTCGTCTTGTAAGAGACTTGAACCCGCCGGAAGAGCACGAATTTAAATCGTCCAAGAGAAAATCTTTCAGCATTCGTGGTCTGTCCTGTAAGGACAAGTGTTTCCTCTGTTTGGAAACAGAATCCATAATTCTAGTTGTGTGTAAATAATATGAATTATGAAAGCCGGAGACTTTACAAAGGAAACGAAGTGGGGAAGTGAGAAGTGAGAAGGAAAAGGATGGGAAATGGAGGTGAAATATAAAGGGTGGGAATTGGAATGGAGAAAGTGAGAGGTAGCTTCTTAGGGGAAGATGGGAGATGGATCTAGCCAGCCTCAGCCATGGTTGTGCAGTAAAATAAAGTGAATGTGCAGAGAAAGAGAGAGAGAGAGAGGAGGAAAATGACAAAAGATGGAGAAGAAGCGAGGATGGTTCAAATTGATTCCAAGAAAAATGTTTTTTGGTTTTTGGGTCTTTTGAAGTGGAAGGTATTGTTGTTCTTGTTGTTGTGGTCGGGGGGAAGTGATGATGAGTCTACTGGTATATAAGTTGAAAGTTTGACCCGGTGAGAAGTTGGAATTTGGCGAGGTACGATCACGTGCAACATTGGAGCGTACAACCAAGGCTTGATCCCGTGATCCGTACGTATCTTCAAGGGCCCATAGAAATTAATGGTGATTTTTAACTTTTTCCCATCCACTAAGGGCAAAAACCTACTTTAGCCCCTCATCTTTCCTAGTTTAAAGGTTTTAACCCCTTACCTTATACTATAATATTTTAATCCCTCGTCTTACTAGATTTGTAGGTTTTAACCTTTCACCTATTAAAATCGAAGAAAACAATCGTTGTTTTATACTGACTGATAACTTTGTTAGTTGAAAATAAGTTTTTGTCAACTAACAGTTAATTAATAATTAATTAACAGAATGAATAAAATATTATAAAGTTAGTTCTGTTAATTAAAAGAAAGTTTTTGTTAGTTAATAGTTAATTAATAGTCAGTTAATAAAGTTAACAGT